TATGTTATTTACTACCTAATTAGTTATTGGTCAATAAAAATAATAAATTTAGTCCAATCTAATTTAAATTAATCCGATATATGTAACCTAATGTGGCTTTACAAAAATTATATTTTATCTTAGAAAATCACATAGGAGAATAGTAAAGATTAATTTAGAAAGTAAAAGGCAATATTAGATTGTCTACTATCTATAAGAAAAATTGTAATTACGTCATAAAAAATATGAGAATAATCTTTTTTCCTCGTTAAAATCTCATAGATATTACGTTGCGTGAGAATACATTCGGTAATTTAACGCCAACATCGACTCAATCGTAAACATATACATATGAATATGTGCGCAATAAGTAGTTTACCGATGCATACATCATACATGTACGTAATGAGATCTTATATGGTGACGAATGTAGCACATAACAAACCGTTTAAATCGATGGTTAAATCATATTTAATATTTACAACCCCAATATCATGATTATAAATGAAATTGAGTTCGAGCTATTTTAATCGAGGCGATACACAATCAAACCTTTATATCAGAATTTGTTAGACATTAGATAGAATTGAATTTGTATCAAAATTAAATTTCCTAATGCACAAAATTATGTTAGAATTGACCATGAGTTGTATCCAACTTCTTAATTCATATTCAAACTATGATTATGTTAATGAATTAAAATACTTAAATTAGGTTTTTAGATTTAATTATTGGAAGTTTGTTTTTAATTTTTCTTCATGATGTCCACGTCAGAATGATGTGACAGATGTGTCATACCGAGGTGGCAGCCAATAGTGTAGTACGTGAGACAAGAAACGACGTGCCTGAAACTTACGTGGCGCTGCATGCTGGACACGTGCTTATGGCTGACGTGGCGCGCATGGGAAAATTATATTTCCCTCTCTTTTCTTTTTTGAATTATTTAATTAATGAAAGTCACGTTAAATTAAATATATCTGGGCCGTTTTGAACTTGGAAAAGTTTCTCTTGATTCACGTGTGATAGCTCACGTGACTCACACTGTAGATTGGAGCAACTTGGTTCAACCTTTTTTATTATTATACATTTAAAATTGAAAAGACTTGAGTACATTTTTTCTTCATCTCTACCATATTCATATATATATATATATAATAGGGGTCAAATTACGAAAAAATCTCTTATGTTTCGATGATTGTAACTAACCCATCAACTATGAATTTTCTTACACGTTCACCCTTGCGGTGTTAAATTTAGTAGAATCTTCTAGATTATATAGAATATTCTCAAGTTTGTACCCATTTTATCCCATTCGATCTCCACATTTTGAAGTAAGATGATAATAAGATGTGTTTATTCGCTTGTATGTATCAAATTATGGTGCATCAGAAACTGCATTTTTGTACAAAACGACTAAAAACTGGAGATCATTCATCGGAATCTAAAAGATTATGTTGAATTTGACACCATAAGGGTAGACATGTAAGAAGATTCATATAGTTAAAGAAGGTGATTGTAATTATCCAAACATGAGTGAGTTTTTCGTAATTTGACATTACCTGAGGGGTTGTTGTGATTTACCCTATATAATATATTCATAGTTTTTTAATTGATTTTCATGTATAATTTACGGGTAATTTGCATTCACACCCCCAAACTATGATAATTTGGCAATCACATTAAAATATCTAAAATTTGGCATCAACCATCCATGGGCTATGACTATTTGGTAACTACACCATATAAATTAAAAAATGTTGGCATCCAAATTTGATGACCACACATTAGCCAATTTATTAATTTATTTTTCATTACTATATTTTTTGTACTACAATATAATTCAATCATTATAAAACTCGCATGCCACATGGGTGAGCGTCTACGAGTTTTGTTGGATAGACATGCCAACGTACACATTTTATTTTTATTACCATACCAATCAATCTTGACAAAATAAAAAGAAATAAGAAAAATAAATAATAATAATTGCTTTGTTTGATCCTACAAAAGATAATAAATAGACAATGAATTGGAATAAAATATATATTACAAAAACAAAAAAAATATACAAATATTATAAATGATTTATACAATTGGAATTAACAAACAAAAAATTCAAAAAAAATAAAAAAATTGGGAGTCGATCAACCTTAATCGACTGCCAAAGCATAATCGATTAACTTAATCGACTATGAACATGTACATAGTCGATTTAGGTTTCAGCCTGCGATAAATTCTCTACAGGCGCCGTCCTCCGCCCGATTCACAAAAAAACCCTAAATCTGCCTCCCCGTCGTCACCACACCGCCGCCACAATACACCATCACCACCTTACTTTGACATTATGACGGTTTTTTTTTATTACGAATAAATAAATAAAATCACAACTCGCACCACCAACCCACCCATCGAAATCCGATTCCGGCGACAAATCAACAATCTTATCTCTATTCGCCTCCGATGTAGCAATCCTGGCATTCGAATTCAGAATCGCTATCAAAATCATTTATAATGTTTGATGGCTGCTTCTTCTTCTTTCTTTCTCCATCTCCCGGCGGCGGCGTCGGCA